TACAGGGTAGAGTGGTAAGAGAGTGGCGACGTCTGAAGTAGGCAGAGCTGATCGTGATGAAGTCCATGAAGCTGCCGATGACGTCCACAATGAGAAGTCCGGAATGCCGTCGAGGAAGAGCCGCAGTGTCGACGAGCTGAAGTAGCAAAATTGATGTGGATGGAGTACTGAGAAGTCAAAGACGTGGGAAGGTAAGTCAGAGTCAATCGTCGTATCGAGCAGGACGACGACGAGTGCGCTGTGGACGCTCAGAAGCATCCGGCTGCTGCTGAAGGTCTGCCTCAGATGGAGTAGGCTCGGCTTCAGCGGTCTCCTCAGCCGGAGGAGAAGGAGGAGAGTCAGTGGGCTGAGGAGGAGCAGTGAACCCAGCACGACGAGCACGGTCATAGGCACGCACCAACATGCAAGCGTGCTCCAAGTGCTGGAGGGGCTCCCAAGTAGCCTCCTCATCAGGGTAACCCTTCCAACGTACGAGATACTCGACGTGGGGAGGGTTGTCGTCGGTGACTCGGCGACCAATGATGTCTGAAACGCGGAACTCCTCGTGGCCGTCCACCATGATGGGTGGAGGGCGCTCGTATGGTCGTCCAGCAAAATGCTCAGACGGTCTGCGGTAAGGACGCAGTAACGAGACGTGGTAGACATCATGCACACGAGCCTGGCGTAGGTAGTCGGACAGCTTCACACGAAAGCTGACCGGGTTAAATGCCGTATCAGAACCGACGACCTGGAGGATGCAGCATGGGTCAAAGAAGCGACGTCGAAACTTGCGAAGCGTGTCCGCTTCGAGCTGTAAGTGGCGGGCATCGATAAGCACATCATCATCGACCTTGAATGGGTGATCCATCCTCGATCGGTTCGCACGTGCTGCCATGCGAGTCTGGGAAGCGGCTATGTGCTCATGTGCGGTCTTCATTATCGACGTCATGTGTGCAACCCAATTATCTGGCGCGGGACAACTCGTGTCGGGGTGCATCTGGGACGGTCGAAGGAAGTCCGCGGGAACACGCGGGTGATAGCCGAGGTCACAATAGTAAGGTGACATCCCCGTGGCTGGCGAGACGGCGTGGTTGTAGGCTATCTCCGCGTGGGCAAGATGGAGATCCCACTGCTGGTCGTCACAAACAATCTTTCGAAGAATATCCCCGAGAGTCCTGTTCGTGATCTCGGTCTGACCATCAGTCTGAGGATGGTAAGACGAGGAGAAGTGGAGCTGAGTGCCGTACACCTCGTGGAGTCGTCGCCAGAATCGGCTGGTAAAGCGCGGGTCACGGTCATATATGATGCTCAGAGGTAAGTCGTGGTCACGCACGACTCGGTCAAATACGATGTCGGCGACCTCACGTGCACTGATGGCATAGCGGCACGGAACAAATCGTGCACGCTTCGTGAAGTGGTCAACGACGACCAGGATAGCATCATGACCGCGGGGGGTCGGAGGTCGAAGAGGACCGATAAAGTCCATCGAGATGGACTGCCAACGACCCTCAGGGATAGGAAGAGGCTGGAGCAAACCATAAGGTAGGTGCTTCGCACTATTCACCTCCTGACAGGTGGGACACTCTGCGACGTAGTCCTTCACAAAGTCCTTGCGCTTCGGCCAGACGTACAGGCGGCTCACACGAGCCAACGTCTTGTAAAAGCTCATATGACCGGCAGCTGCCTGGTCATGGAACTCTGCTACTGCCTGGTCATGGAACTCTGCTACTGCTCGGACACGTAGCTGTCCAGTGGAGGGAACACAAATACGGGGCTCTCTGGTGCCCTGTGAACCGTGGCAGTACACAAGACCGTTGTCCCCGAGAGAGTAGTTCGGGACGGTCTTGCCACTCTGAAGTGTCGCGTGGATGTCGCGATAGTCGGGGAAGTGGCGGTACTGAGTGCGAAACTCGTCGATCATCGAGTGGTGGACGGTGCTGACCGAGATGGAAGAGAGCTGGATGTGCTCCTGGTCGTGGTCAGGGCGCCGGGATAGGGCATCGGCGACCCGATTAGTCTCACCCTTGATATGCTAAGTGGTGAAACTAAACTCGGATAGGTCGCGCCACCAGCGAGCCTGTCAAGGAGTGAGCTTCGGCTTTGTCAGAAAAGCATGGACAACAGAGTTGTCCGTGCGCACCGTGAATGGTGCCCTGTGCAGGTAGTGACGCCAGTGCCGAGCGGCATAAACTACTGCGAGAACCTCACGTTTATCAGCGATGTAGTTTATCTCGGCTGGCAGGAGCTGACGGGAGTAGAAGGCTATCGGACAATCACCTGAGCGAGACTCGACAGTGCCGTCCTCGGCGATGGTAGGAGAATAGTCAATAGAAGGCTCGTCAGTAGCTGGACGAGTAGGCGTCAGTCGGGAAGC